CCGACCACTTATTCAGGACGGTATGTAGAGCTAGTTAACTTATTCCTAGAAATCAAACGTACTTGTACTGAAGTTTTGGTATTAGATTAGATTAAGAAGCTCATTTTTCAGGTATTCTTATAATCCTTCAATTAAAAACGACGAAAACATAATGGAAGTAAGCTTTACCTACCCACCCCAACTCAAATCCCTCCATATTTTGCAGATGAGTGTCATATTATTTTTTTACACTGAGTACGTAAGCGACTGACCGTAACACAATTCAATTGAAATATAAATGGAAGCTAACATAACAAAGCAGGATAGGGATGATGAGTCTTCGACTAAGGTGCACAATATTTGCAGGCTGTTCTTGTGATATAAACCATTTACCCTTAACGGAAGGAAGTAGTGCTAAAATCTAATGGAAGTGTCAAACTAAATCCATGAAGACAATTATTATACCTCCAATAATATGGACTCTAAATAATGTCAAATTCCGAAAATAACCCAGGCGAGATTCATTCTTTCACTCGATGATCTACTGAGTTTATTGAGCTTTATGACATGCAGTATTTTGTATCCATCTAGATCACCCATACATATTATATCATATTACATCACCTTCAGACTCTTTTCTGATAAAAGATGTATTCACTGGTCTCATACGACAACGCACTACCATAAAAAAGTGTGTTGCTGTTAGACGAAGCCTAATAGATCCAATGGTAGTTCAAATAATTTTAGTTGATCTAATATCCAGTATCTTTTTCACAAGTTAGTATAAACCTTTTGATTTCTTTTCGCTAGATTCACGTTCTTTTGGCACGGTTTCAGGTATTTAGTAGTATCCAAAGGATGGTAGTCTAGACACTTGACTGCACAAATTCTAGCTAGTTGCTTATGAATTTGTATTTCCCGTGTTTTGAATGAGTACGTTTATTTCAAGGCAGTAGGGTTTCTGGATACCAGCAGATATAACGTTACCAGATAAAAGTCAAAACTAGGCAAATAAATGCATAACCTTATTTTATTAACTGGTGGTGGAGATTGTACAAGAGGTCCGAAGTGTAAGGAAGGGGAAGGTATCAGAGATAATAAGCAAGATAGAATAAGTTAGTGATCTAAGGAAATATCAGTAATAACGAATCACTGGAAATGCATCAGAAATGACTGGTTCTTGAGGGAGATAATAATCTGTATCTCAGTACGTGTTTATGAAGTCTCTGCTTACCCAGCTGAGGTGACAACAGCACCCTCAGTGGCTGTCTTCAAGAAGTCTAAGTTGTAACGACTCCTTATAAGAAAAGGTGTGCACAAACCTCAGAGTTCGTTCGTTGAAGTACAGTTTTCTGAGGGTAATCTTGATGGAAATGGTGGTGATGCATTGGTAATATGTTCACGCCGGGATGGTTTGGTGCACTAAAGATGTTGTAAGCTGTTATCAGATCACCTCTGATTCTCCTGTAACTCAGGGAGAATAATCCCAAATATTGTAGTCGATCTTTGTAAGTTTTGTTCTCCAACCCAAACACGCATTTGGTTGCTTGTCTCGGCCTCCGATCCAGGAAACTTATGTCACTTTTTCGTAAAGAAGGGGTAACAGTATTGTGAACGTCAAAGTGTTGTGGCGCTTATGTCCTTAACAACGTTAGGAATAAGTTATGGGTGAAATCACCGAATTGTCTTCGCATAAACTGAAGAGTTGCTTTAGCCTTAGCTGCGTCCTCTATATAGTTCGATCTGGTGTGCAGGCTTTCAGTGGTTATTAAGCCGAGAAAACATTACGGAGCAAACTTTCAATAAAGGTGTAAGTAGTTTGCACCATGTGTGGCAGAATGTACATGACACGACATTTCAGCTGGTTTAGTTTTACACAGTTTTCACTGCCCAGTTCTTAACAGATGTAAGGTACTTTTGGAGCTCAGTTAAATCCTCTTGGCATCTTATAGACCTCTAGATCTCCGCTTCGTCAGCGGCTCAATCCCGCTGGGTGTACTTTGTCTAACAGATCGTTAGTGAATAACTGGAAGACGAGTGGACTTTCCATGATCCCCTGTAAAACTCCAGATATTGAGACTCATCAGCTCATGTGCATCCTATTTACCCTGGTGCGAAACTTTCTATCTTCAAGGTACTTTCTGGGTCAGTGAAGCCCAGTTCCGCAACCTTCGCAATTAAGAGTGAGTTGGGTACCATGACGAAGGCTTTTAAAAAGTTGGTATTTTTCGGGCGCAGCAGGTTGTTCAACTGTCCCATGTCGTCAGCCGGCACTAGGTTCTAGTAGTACTCTGAGCGTCTAGGTTCTTATCTGTCTGATCAACGGAGTTGGTGTTAGGTTGGTTAGAAATGCTCTGGGTAAATATATATAATTGTCTCTTTGCTCTTATTTTTCCTTTCTCTCTTTTTTGTCGCTTTTCATAAACTTATCCCCAGCGGAAAAACCATGCTGCTTTTACGCTGAACACACTTGTGCGCGTTCGACTAGGTCACAGCTTATATCAAGCGCCTTCCAATCGACACTTTCCAACAAATTCACTTCTGAATTATGCTGACCACCCAGAGCTCTACTGTGTACCTACAATGTTTGTACTCACTTTCTTATAATGTTACTGTGGTTTTGCACTCAACTTGTCATAGAAGATCTTTAAGGTCTTCAATATCACCGAAATGAAAACTCGAAATTTACAAAGTATACTAAGGTGGTACACGGAAATGAAGAACGACCAGTAGGATGAAAACGACAGACAAGCCAAACGTTCTTGAAACATTGCAACAAGAGTATACACTTAGTCTCTTATTCCCCAGTAGAAGCTTAATGGATAGACATAAATGATTACATTGAAGCGTTAAAAAATCTAACGCTTTCTTTCGAAATATGCAAGCTAATGTGTTCCAGTAGTTAGATTAACCTCGCTGAAACTGAAAAATCTAAAACCTCTATTTAAAACACATAAACTTACTCCAGTAAATCAAGTGTTTTGTCCTGGGGCTTCATATGAAATCGAGTTTTGGGCGCGTTTTCAGAAGATTTCGCTACAGGTCTGTTCATCATGCCTCGGATTAACATAAAGGGTGGTGTTTGGAGGAATACTGAGGTAAATTTATGAATACAGTCGACTTATTTTTAAGGATGAAATCCTCAAAGCTGCTGTTATGAAATATGGCAAAAATCAATGGGCCAGAATAGCTTCTTTGCTGCACCGCAAAGCCGCTAAGCAGTGTAAAGCTAGGTGGTATGAATGGCTTGATCCTAGTGTAAAGAAAACAGAGTGGAGCCGTGAAGAAGATGAAAAATTATTACATCTTGCCAAGCTTATGCCAACTCAGTGGCGAACAATTGCTCCGATAGTTGGAAGAACTGCAAATCAATGTTTAGAACGCTATGAATATCTTTTGTAAGTTTTAAATTTATTATTATTTCGAAAATCAAGAGACAAAGCACAAAACAGGGAAGGCTTGTCTGCAGAAGAGGATCCTAAACGTCTTCGTCCTGGTGAAATCGATCCAAATCCTGAAACTAAACCTGCACGTCCAGATCCCGTTGATATGGATGAAGATGAATTAGAAATGCTTTCAGAAGCCAGAGCAAGACTGGCAAACACACAGGTCAGTCATAATCAGTGTTTTATGGTTTTCACACCGGTAAAGATTATAACTGCTTTACTGTTTAATTCGTTACTCTTGCGTTTGCAATCACCTGTTACAATAAGAGCCGTAGGGAAGGAGACAGTTCCATTAAATTAAGTTGCAGAAAATCAAACTAGTTATGTGTACTTGCGAAAGATAGAAATCATGCACAGTGTTAACTCACTTGGTGTTACCATCTGAGAACACCATATTTGTTCTACAAATGACTTACTTCCTAGACATTTTCACATAAAGTTCTATTAGCCGATGATAGGATTGAGTTAAAAAGGTAAAGATAATACGAAACTCGTTCATTAAGCTTAACAGTCGGTTCTCAACTGGTTGGAGAATGAGTGACCTTCAAGCTAATATCCTTCAATCACCTATGGCACTTCACGTTTATTGTGTTAGAATTTTGTATCGAAATATGCTATTTTTATACACTGAAAACAAATTCTTCTGGTTGGTGGTTCTGTCTTTAAGTTCCAGTCGTTCAGTAAACTAAGTTAATTACGATCACATGAGCATATATCACCTGGCTACATATCGCTGTCTCCAACTATCATTCAGCATTTTTTTCTGCAATCAAAATTTTGTCTAGTCAAACTACAAAATACCCTTGTGAAAGATGAGATGGTTAGTTTATGACATGATGTCGTTGTATGAGACTTGTAACAGTCAATTCATGACTCTGCTTGAGGTCCAAGAAATAATGAAGCTCAATCGCTTTGGATGCTATCAGATATGGCTCAAAATAGAAGTCAATGGTAGTCGTGCTATGATTCTCTTTTACCTTCATAAGAAGGACAGAAATTTGTTTGGTTGGAAGAATTGTTTTTATTTATATTTTTTCCTACTGGAATGTTTTCCCTATCATATACTATTTGTATCGACTTATTTTTGATCATATATACCCTTCATCTATCTCTTCACAACATCGTTTACCTATTCACGTCGCTATAATCTTAGCCCTCGCTTGTATCAATATTTGTGTTCAAATAAATAGGACGAAGTTAGCATTGGTATAAAATGCTACCTTCAGAATTCGTCTCTCGATCATAGCTGATACCTTAACGTGGTGGTCGGGCTTGTCTGTCGTGATGATCCAACAGAGCTATATAGGCTGGAACATATGTACTTTAAGTCATACCATGCCAGGGAGGTCAATTAGAGAACAGTTAGACTAAATGCAGCAACTCAAGGTCTGAGGGCGAAGTCGTACTGTCGAGGGGTGTTTCCCTTGGACAACCAGCATCTGCAGCGATGCTAGAAGGAAGGAAAGATGGGGTTAGCAATGGTCGACCCTGAAAATGTCACCCCATTTTACCCCGCGGATTTCCATCCTCGGCGGTAAGGCCTTTTAAAAAGGGCGGAGCTAACACCTTACAAACTTCTCATAAAAAGGCCGTGAGTATCCGGCCTCAAGCAGTTGTCCCTAATCTATGAGCCAACTTCCTTTCCAGGTTACCCGAAGAAGAAATACCGTTTCACAGTGTGGGAAGCCAGGAAGTGACATCCTCCCTCATACCGTAACTGCACACAAAACCAAATTAGTCTCAATTAGATCGTTCCTACCTCAGAATTCGTCTTATTTGATTATTGTACACGATGTAGATCAAACAATTGCTAGAAGCCGAATGAGACCGATCACCACATTAGCTGTCAGTTCTCGTAAACGGTACTTGCTGATTTTCCAAAGTTGATCTCAGCCAAGTGGCTTTACTTGTTAGCATGGTATTTCACTTGTATTTAGCTGTTTTTAGTTATCTAAGTACAAATCTATTTCGCATAATACTTTCTATTTTGCTAGGGGCAACCAAATCAAAACATGGCACAAAAATATGAAGTCATTTATAACTGAATGGAGCTATGTTAGTAGGTGTAGAATACCTGGTTAAGGTCTACGGAACAATTTCAACTGGTGGTTTGAGACTGAGTTACATGGCTCAAAATCGTTAGTAGTGGCGCAGATGCATCCATTCTTTGTCTTCTCTCAAATTCTAATCTACGTTCCTCATGATCTTATTTCTTTTCATAAATCTATTTCACTGAGATATACTTCTCAAATCATTTCTTCGATCCCTAATCTTTTAAATTACCTCTATTACTGTTACTACTATGGAATATTAACTGACGATTCAATCTCTATGTGCTAATGTTCTATGGAGACTTAAACTGATGTACGTACGTGCGTACGAAGTTCTACGTTGTAGCTCAATGACTGATTGCTTCTATTCTAACATTCATGTTTGTCAGTTCCGACTCCTATACTTAACTGACTACTCAATGATTACATCTCTCATGTTCGCAGGCTAGTTTTTAAAAAATTGGAATATCAATCTTTGAAAATATTCATATTCAACTCTGTAGAATCAATTGTTCTTCTATGTGTTGTTTTGAATTATTCGTTTTTTCTTGTAAAATCAAATTCATGTCTTAAAATCCTTCTTTTACCATCTATTTGTTTATCCACTGTCTGTGATAAAGAATTCATTTATATGACTTTTATCCAAGAAGTTTTTGTTTTATTTGTTTCTTGTTTGTAAATATAGGGAAAAAAGGCAAAACGTAAAGCTAGAGAACGTCAACTTGAAATTGCACGAAGAATGGCCATGATGCAAAAACGTCGAGAACTTCGAGCAGCTGGCTTGGGGACATTCTTGGGATTAGCACCAAAAACAAAACCATGCATGGATTATAATTCAGAAATTCCATTTGAGAAACAACCTCCTAAAGGATTTTATGATACTAGTAGAGAAAAACCAGAAATTAAACCTATGGATTTTCAACGTTTAAGACTTTCAGATATTGAAAAAGAAAGTTTTATGGAAAGAGAAAAGGTGAGGCCATGTTGTCTTTGGGTTTTTTTTGAATTATGTATTGTGAAATTTTAGTTTGTTCTTAATACTTTTTTTACGCTAAAAATGTTTACTTTCAATAGACGCAGTAATGACACTTCATCAGTTGAGGTGGTTGGGACATGTGTTACGTATGCCTAACCACCGACTGCCTCGTCGAGTTATGTTTTGTGGTGTAGGAATAGGTTGGAAGAAAGTTAGGGGCGGCCAAACCAAAACATGGCAGAAATCCATGAAGTCATTGATTGACGAGTGGACTTAGCCATGTCAGTAATTGTCGACTACCTGGTTGGGGTCCGCGAGATGATAATAAATCGATGGTTAGAGACCTTGAATGACATGGCTCGAAATCGTTTGCAATGGCGCTGGTGCATTTATTCTTTGTGTTCTCTCAAATCCTAATCTTCTGGGTTCTTCAACAACTCTAGTTTTGTCTTTCTAACTTTTCTCACTGAATCATACTTCTTGAATAATATTTTCTAATCCTAAACGAACTTCTTGAAGTTCGTGCTGATGATGTTGTTCAGAAGAACAATGAAAGCTCCACAACCAAAACAACCAGCTCACGAGAACGAAACCCACCACCCCTAACATTGTCTTCGTCTGGATTTTCAGGAGCGGACATTCTACCAGGAGATTCGCCGGTTAATCTAGAGTATGCCGAAGGTGTAGTTCTATTTGGTGAAGACGCTGACAAAATGCAGTGTCTCCTGACTACCCTAAGCAACAATGCAAGCATGTTCGGGATGCGGTTCCCCCCCCGCGAAACTCAAAATGTTGCTTCAAGACTGTGTTGCATCGGCACCTGAACTAGTGATAGGGAGTGAGGCAGTTGAGCATGTTGACCGATTCACTTGCCTCGGAGTCTCATCAGTGCTGATGGCCTGGTGACTGAAGAATTCTCAGCACGATACAAAAGGCTTGACTGGCTTTGCCAACTCGCGTCACTTATGGGTCGGCGAGATATCCGTTCGCTAACCAAAGGATGGGTGCTACTATGCAGCGGTTCGCTCCGCTATATCTACTAATATGGCTGTGAAACATGGCCAGTGAGAGTAGAAGATATTCGTAGGTTACTGGTTTCCGATCATAGATTTCCTCGAAGCATTGCTCGTGTATCATGAGACAACCGAGTAAGTTATGCTGTCGTTAGGAGACGGGTCCTAGGTGAGAGTTGCGGATAAATAGATGAAGTATTCAAACTTCATCAGTTGAGGCGGTTGGGGCATGTGTTACGTATGCCTAACCACAAGCTGCCTCGTCGAACTATACTTTGCGATGTAGGATTAGGTTGGAAGAAAGCTAGTGGCAGCCGAACAAAGACCTAAAATTTCCGATTACTGCTAATACTTCTACTACCTCTATTATTATGTCATATGAATTGACAATTGCATCTATGTGCTAATGTGGTATGGCAACTTGAACTGATGTACGTACGTACGTACGAAGTTCTGTGTTGTTGCTGACTGACTGAATGACTGTGTCTCACCAGCCAGACAAGTAAGCAAAACTCCACCAGAATCGATCGTAAACAATATCAAATAAGTCATTTAACCATCTATATAGTTTTTCAAGATTCAATTGTTTTATCCACTTAAGGCTCAAATAATCAACTTTAATTCAGCACACTATTAAAAAAGATTTGATTCTTAACTTAAATGAGCAAGAGATGGTTGCCAATAATTTGTTTAAACATGTGACATAACTGTCAAGTGTTTCAGTATGCATAATTGACATTAATCTCGCTAAATTTTACTATACAATTGTGGTGCGCGCTACTTATAAGTAGTACATGACGTGAGTGTCAACGTAATGTCTGGCAGCAGAAGATGGGGGAAGATCAAGAAAGGAAGAGTGGGAACACAATGGAATTTGTATGAAACGCATGGATAGTGAAATGTCAGATAATGGATTGAAGATTTGCAAATTTCACCGTTTACTATATGGTTTTTCTATTTTACTGAGTAACTCTATAATTTGCGATCAATACAATTCGGTTGCCCTCACCTATGTTCTCCTTCACTATACAATAAGCTGTTTTTATTAACTTTCCTTTTCTTTTTTTTAGCGTGAACGTAAAAAAGACGCAGAACGACAAGCTAAACGTATGCAATCTGATTTACCTGGAGTTATTTTACAACGTGGTAATTCTTTGGATGAACCAATGTTAAAACGATCGAAGCTTGTACTTCCTGCTCCTCAAGTATCTGATTTAGAATTGGAAAATTTAATTAAAGTATGTTTTTTTTAAGTGGCTCTTTTTTTGAAAAAAATTATTATCAACTTATTATAACAAATGCACTTATTTGATAATTGAAACATGCAACATTGAACTTATGTTGTTGGTTAAAAACTAGTCAGTCGTATGCTGTTTTATGGGTATGAGGGCGGTTATCACTTCCCGGCTGCCTACACCGTGGAAGGTTGTTTCTTGAGGGACCTGGAAAGGAAGATGGATTAGTGTTGGTCTTGGAGACCTGGGAGCGTGACCACAGAGTCCAAAGGATAACTGCTTGAGGCCGGTCACGCACGGCCTTTTTATGAAAGGTGTTTTGAGTATTAGCTCCTTAGTGGGTACCCTTACCATCGGAGATGGAAATCCGTGACGTAGGGTGACGTGTGACATTTTTAGGGTCGACCTTTTCTAACCCTTCCTTCCTTGTGAGAAGGCAGCATCGCTGCAGATGCTGTTTGTCCGAGGGAAACACCTTACTGCTGCTGTCACACCCCTCTGCAATCAGAAGTACAAGTTCGCCCTCAGACCTTGAGTAGCAGCTTTTAGTCTCATTGTTTTCCAATCCACCTGCCTGGCATGGTAGAACCTTCAGGAACATATATTCCAGCCAGTATAGCTCGGTTGGGTGATCACGACCACTAACACGTCAAGGTAGCAGCTTCGGTCGGAGTTAAAAACTAGTACACAAAAGAAAACTAGAGTTTTTGCTGTAGTTTAACGATTACTCAATACAAACTGATGGTCGTTTTCATGCAAGATTGTTTATTGATTTTTCTTTGTGTGTGTGTGTGGCGTTTTTATGTTCAATACTCATTTAAGGTGAATGTGATAATGTTCAGCTCACTCTCATGGTCGTCTGTTTGATTGATTAACACAGTTGTTAGAATTTATTTGTTAGCACACTACTAGTCGATCAACTTTCTGTTGACATGATTAATTCAGGAATCAATAGATATCATTATGCATAACAGTCAAATAAGACTGACTGACAGTGGTTGTATACTAATCTGAACAGGATTGTTGAGATTTAATATTTCCAGTCAGTTTTGTGTTAACCTCGGAAATTCGTGTAGTTTTAACTCGAGTTAATTATGTCTGCTCGGATTTTGATTATTTTCGTTGCTCCAACATTTGATTCTTTCATTAACTGAACAGGTTACGTAACTTTAACAAAGGTACCTAACTGAATAATATCGAAATCGATTAATTAACCGTTACTCGAATTTTGATTGTTTGAATGATCGAAAATTTGTAGTGCGTGTACTTTTTAATATGTCGAGCCTATAGAGTTTGTTCCAACCTTCGGACAAATGAACTAATCTATTCTGTCTGAGTTTACTATTCCATTCATCTTTTGACCTTGTCAACTATTCGCTTTTTTATCTTGATTATTTCTATTCAAGTATGTGTGTGCATCGATTACTTTGCTTATCGCATGTCTGGCTACAAATAATTAGTTATGTCTTATTTCATTGAATTGACTACTGACTCGCTTTCTCCATTTCTCTACGCTTTGTTTGTACGGTTTTTATTCTCATGTCTGTCTGTGTGAATGATTACCATCTGAAATAAACTAGTTCGAATGCCTATTTGGCTTCATACTACCTGTTGTAACGCTTGCTTAAATAATTCCCGGCTAATTCCTATTGCTTAATATTCTCTGACCACAATACCACTGGACAAGTTCCCAAGACTCAAAAACACGGTAGAACAGGAAAAGCTTATATTTATTTATATGAGAAGCTTCTGGATAGTAATCCACGTGATCGACTGGATTAGATTTAGCGAATCAGAGTGCAGCTAACAACACGAGAATTTTCTACCCTGTTCTCCAAGAATCGATCAGACGCTGATTGGATAGGAAATTAGCCAATTAGCGCGCAGCAACGTAGTCATGCTTTAATGCCATCTATGTCCCACTAACACTACCGCTGTCGCATGAATGGGATTCGCCCAAATATGCTCTAGGGAAACTGAAGGGGGGGATATATTTCATAGCATATTCGACTGTCAGGTCAAACTGAATAGCGGGTCATTAATGTAGTGAGTCTTACCTCGAGTTCACAACAGTCACCATTCAATTTCTTACTATGAACACTATTTATCAAATTTTCATTCCTATCGTTTTACTGTGATTAGAGTAACGAGAGATTAGAAACGGTGTATTTATGAAACAACACTAAATGAACTAGAATTTGATTCGGTCCCAACATCTTTCTTCCCTCCAGAAAGAAAGAACCCTAATCTCTCTCTTCTAATACTTTTACTACCTCTACTACTATGGGATTTTGAATTGACAATGGCGTCTCTGTGCTAACGTGATATGGCAACTTGAACTGCTGTACTTACGTGCAAAGTTCTACGTTGCTGTTGATGATGATGATGATGATCTTTCTTCCCTCATTCAAATCGTTAAAAATTACTCTACACCCGTAATCACTACTACAAATTGGAAAATTTTTTCTGATTTTATATGAACGAA